CACCCTGGTGGGCAGCCCAGCGCTGCAAGCAGAGAGGGGTGGCCGTCACATTAGCTGCAGCCAGGGGTCAGACTTGATGGCCCGGGGGCCCCTTCTGACTCGCTCTGTCTCTGCGTTGCATCGTTTCTGTTTCACTTTGGCCAACTGAGGCATTGCGAGCAGTGGCGAGTGAAGCGCAAGCTCAGCCCAGCCTACCTCACAGGGTTCCTGTTGCGGGGATAAGAGGAAGCGCAGGATGGAGAGAATGATGGACGCTGCCTTGCGTTCCTCAGACAGGAGGAGTTGAGGACAGATATGATGAATTAATATTTTAAGAGATAACATTTGCACCCTAAACGTGCTGCAGGAGAATCAGAGGCCAATGGCATGAGGCTCGGAGGGAAATAGCCAGTGTGCAGTTGGAGGTGAACTGTCATAATCCACCCTCTCCATCTATTGTGCACCAAAACTAGCATAGCCTTCAGAATTCATGCCTCTTCAAGTTTTCCAGTGGCGTTTTCCAGTAAACTAACAACTCAAAAGCCTGCAGATACATATTCTACTGTAAATGACTTGTAAAAGTCCAGTACATGAGAGAAAATATTTTCAACCAGTGAATTTAAAATGTATAGAGCTTCTACTGATATGCATATAAAGTGCAAAGTTTGCTAATACTTTAGTGTGAAGAAGACAACACTATGAATCTGGAGCCATGGAAACGTTACGGAGGTGCAGGTTTCTTTTCCTCCAAGACAGGTTCGTTCAGAGAACTCTCGGGCACCTTACTCACTAGCGTCCTCTCATTGACAGACTTGGGTCCAACTTCTGTTCTCCTTCCTCTGCTTTCGCTTTTCACAGCCCGCATTCGCTTTCGCTTTCACTGTTGAGGTTCCTGTTGCTCTCCACTTTCCAGATCTTTGGAAGTATTTCTTCTCTCCATGGGATGGTGGATCTTCTGATGAAAAGATGAAGGAGCCGCAAGATGGAGTCAAGGTTCTACATGGGAAGCAGGGAAGATGAAACACCTGGGTAGATACTTCCAAGATCGTTTTGGAATTCCCATAAACAAGGATGGCAAAAGCCTAATTGAGCTATGCCAAAATTACTTTTGTACTTATATGATGGAACCCTGAGGATTATGAAAAGCTATTTGGGTCAGAAATAGTGAGTCGCTCTGGGTGAAATGCTGATTTAACCATGTGGGGGAGCTCTTGAACCGGCTGCAGGAAAGACAGCAAAGAAAGAAAGAATTTATTGCCTGTGCTTCACTGCATGACCGAGCTACTGAGTCAGAGTGAGGGATGCGGGTCTTGTAAAGCGAATGCTTGGTATATTTAGAGGGTTGG